GTCACGGGCTCATTCCAGCCTCTGGTCAGGGAGACTTTAGCAGGGAAGGGGCAGCATTGGCAGAGGCCAGGGCTGGGGGAGCTGGTAAGGCAGGGCACCTGGGGTGGGGGGCCTTGGCGGGTGGTGGGAGCGGAAAGGAGGCCCCCTCCTCTGTGAAGGTGGGGGCAGGTGGGCTCAGCCCAACCTCGATCCGCTCAGGGACCTGAATTCCATCGGGATTAGCGTTAAGCATATTAAAAAAAAAAAAAAAATCAGGGCCCAGAAAAGCGAGAATTAAGTAGAATTTAATATTCATCACGCCTCGGGAGAGGGAAGATTGCCTAAGTTTAGAGCTAATACGGGGAATCAGGAGAGAAAATATGGACAGATTTGACTGCATAAAAATGAAAATCTTCTGCATGTCAAAATTAAACCACCAAATAAAAAGGCAAAAAAGATATGGCCTGGGAAATATATTTGTGGCAAATATGACAGACAAAGGCTTAATTTCTTTATTAAATAAAGAGCTTATATGTATATCTGCAAAAACATAGAGATGCGTGTGACGTAAAGTTCAGATTCTTTTTAAGAGAGAAGGGTTATTAAAACGGTGGGAAAAACACACTAAAATCTTATGCTTAAAGGAACACTGTGCGGGCACCACGGCGGCGAAAGGGAGCTGTAGGGAGTGGTACCATTTCCATATTTACTCTTTCTCTCTAATTTTTTTGTATTTTTCTTTGTAATTTTCTTTTTCTTTTCTCTAAGTTTTCTTTAAGTGGTGTGTTTTACCTAAAAAAAAGTGTGATGTGAGTCAATTAATATTTTATGAGCCATTCTCATTATGATTATTAGAAACAGTAGCAATAACCACCGTTTGCCGAGTGGCCGCAATGTATGACACACGTACACTGTTATGAACGTGAGGCATTTTTTACCCATCATCTCATTTCATCCCCCCAATGCCCGGGAGAGGTAGATATCATTATCCCCATTTGAAAGATATGAAGACCGAGGCTCAGCGAGGTGAAGGACTCCAGCCAGGGCAGGACAGCTCAGCTCCGTGGGAAATCTGGGTTTGAATACGAGGCCCTGACCCTGCGCTGTCCTGGGACGGCTCATGATGGCCAGGGTGGGGAGGGTCCCTCTGCAGCACTTCTGGCCTCTCAGTGCTTGTGCCGTCTTGAATGGAACCCATGGCGTGTGCGGATCGGCCCAAAGAACCCGTGTCACCCCGAAGGGCAGTGCATCCCATCCTCCATCGTCTCACTCCCCTTCCCAGCAAAACAGGAAAAAAAATGAAGGCAGTGCCAGGTGCTGAGCCCCTGGGGAGGAATCAGCAGGAGGCAGGAGTGTGCAGGTTTCCACGGGCACTAAGTGCTTATTGGAAATATGAAATCACGGCCGAGGTGTTCTTAGACTAATTGACTGAAAATCCTTGAACTTGACACAAGTTGGGGAAAAATCACAGAGAAAAATGCAAAAATGCTCAGAAGCAGCTAAACTCCTCTTCCTGGGATGGCATGTGCTCTGTTTGGTGATTCCCATTACAATTGTGCTGGGGAGGAGGAGGCATCCTAAGATGAATTGTGTGAAAAAGTCCTTGAAAGGCTTCAGAAGAAAACAAACTGGGGGATAAAAGACCCCAGACAGAAAGCCCAGTAGGGACACAGACGGGCCGTCACCCACTCTATGCGCTGCCCAGGGCGCAGACATGGAAACCGCTCGCCCCCAAGGCGGCGTGAGCCCCGTCTCGGCGTACTGGAGGCCTTCCTGGAGGAGGCGCTTGTGTTGCTGTGCCCGGAGAACGAGGAGGACTGCAGGACGCTGCAAGGTTGAGACTCAAGGAGGGTTGAGAAGACTTGGCAAGGGGTTTATGGGGCAGCACTCAGGAAATCTGTGGGGAAGCTGTGGGAGGCTGGGCAGGACGGTGGGCTGCAAGCAGACCCCTCGGGCTGGAAATGATCGCTCTGCCTGGGCCTTTAACCTCTAGGAGATCAAAGGCCTCTGAATGCTGCTTTGAAGATCCCAGTGTCTTTGGGGAAGTAACAGGAAATATCCAGCCATCAAGGGGGGCTAGTGAGGTGGCTATTAGTGGAGAAAAGGAACTCGGACTCCCCCATCTTCTTGAACCACTCCTCCAAGGAAGAGATTGTTGTCCCCACTTTATAGACAAGAAAACTGAGGGTCAGAGAGGATACAGAGCCCAGCCCCACGGCTTTCCTGACTCTCATCCTTGTGGCCTGAGGCGTGGCTCCTTGCCTGTCTCAAAGGCCACGTTCCATCACATCCTCCTGGGGCTCACTCCTCCTCCTTCAAGGCTCAGACCTCCTGATGGCTCCTCCTGGCCTGGCCTGTTCTGTCTGCTCCTTTTGGGGTCCGACCCCGGGCTCTCGGCACACTGATGGGCAATGGTTGTGCCTGAGCACCCCAGGGCTGGGCCAGGTCTCTTTCACTTGGTGTCCGAGCCCCAGCCCAGAGCCTGCGTGCAGTAGGAGCTCCATAAATGTTCTCTGAACAACCGAATCCAGAGGACAGGTATGTTCCAACTGGAGGATCTTTGGTGTTGGAGTTGGCTCCCCCAACTCCAGACAAAATTAATGCAAGCTGCAGTCACGTGTTTCAAAAATTTCAAAAAAACTGAAATTTTGCGTTAAATTCTTCCAGGTCCCTCCTTTTGGCTCAACTCCAGATCTCCAACTCAACTCCTTTCAATTTTCACTTTGACTCCTCAATTCAAATCAAATCAGGCCGGTTTGCTTTCAATTCCATTCTATTGTGTTCCTTCCATTCAATTTGATTTCCCTTCCTCAATTCAGCTAAATTCAATTCCTTCAATTCATTTCAATTGTCCTCAGTCCAATTTTTCTCTACGTTGACCCGATCCTGGCCAACAATTCAACTTCAGTCATTTTTCTAGTTTGACCCAAGACGACTCAACCCACCTTGGGCCCCCCAGCTGGTCCCTAGGTGTCCGCCCCCGTGTAGATCATCTCAGTTCTGTCTTCCCTGTATTTCTGAGCACCTGAGCCCTGCAGGCCACTGTCCTCCCTGAGGTGGGATGAAAAAGAGGCTCCCTTCTGGAGAATGATCTGGAAAAGAAATAGCGTGCACAACCACTTGGTTTTTGCAAGTCTATCCCTTCGTGTTCCCGTCAAGACAACCCTGAGAGAAAGGTATTAGTGTCATCATGATCCTTGTCTCCATCGGAGAGCTGGGGAAATGGAGGCACGCAGAGCTGGCATCATAACTCAGTGTCCATGGCCTTACAGCCTAAGTGTTCAGTCTTGAACTTGGGCCGTTTGATGGCAAAGCTCTCATCCGACATTTACATGAGAAAATAATACCAATTTAGTTGATGAATTTTTTCAACCATATTATGTGATTACTATGTACTAATCATTGTTCCAGGTAGTGGGGATGCGGTGGTGAGGGTGGGAACCATGGTCCTGGCCCAATGCACCTGTGGCCCAGGGTGGGAAACAGAAGGTCACATGAGCAACGTGTGGTTCCCCTGGCTTGGGTGGGGGTGGAGAGGGTCAGGAGAGGATTCCAGGAATGAGTGGCACCCTGCATGCACACAGGAAGCACTGGGTAGATACAGCTGGATAGGGGAATAATTGAGTCATGACCTTCCTTGAGTATCAAGGGATGACTCTCACCTGATACCAGGTCCTTTCCTGGTACCACACTCCTGCCCATCATCTATAAAGTGACCACTGCCATGACCACTTCAGTTATAGCTTTATTCTGAGTAGCTTCTCTGCTTCAATTTGCACCCCCTGCCATTCTTCTAGTTGTGCCTGCATCCCAGCTGTTCTTGGTACTTAATGTCACCATGGCTACCATGGCTTTGGCCACCATAGAAATGACTCTTTGGTCCTTCTGGATTCGCTGACTTTGGCTGCTCTGGGTAAACCCAGAGTGTTGTGGTTATTTCATGTTTTTGCCTTCATGGATGGATTTTTGTCCTCCAAAAGCAGTAGGGGTTTGACAATTATACATGTGTGCTAAGAGGATGCTCTAAGAGGTGGAAACAAGGGCTTGGAGGTCAATAAAGTATAAATAGAAATGAAATTAGAGCAATGGAAAGAAGGGGCTTGAAGGAGTTAAAGGATGTTGGGGACATCTACATTTCCTGCGGGAGGCGCATATTCAGGGCAGAATTAAAAGAGAAGGTCTGTGACCTCCACACTCATTTTCCCTCCACCCAGTGTTGGTTTAGTTTTCTCTCTGCTCCAGGTACCTTTTCTGAACCTCTCCCCCAACATGGAGGAATTGGTACTTCAGCACCTCGCCTCTGTGGACAGTGCCCCAACTGCCATGGTGTCCTTTCTACCTCCTCCCTCCACCTCACCCACCCTACTTCGTCCTCCATGGGACCCATTTATCCGATGGTGAATCTGACCAAAGACGCTGCTGAAGGACCAACAACTTGTCCCCCCGGAAAGAGCATGACTCTTCGGAGACAGGCAGAACTGGATTCACATCCATGTCAGTGCTGTCAGGACTTTGACTGCCAGCTCCCCGCCTGTCACACAGGGTGGCTATGAGGAGTTAATGGGGTAACATTTGTCAGGTGCTTGACAAAGAGTAGGGCTTCAACAGCTGTTCATTTCTTCCTCCTAAGTAGCATGTTTCAATTTTCCCTGGGATTTCCGATGCCTGAGCCAGATGGTTGAGGGGCAGACACTATGGCAAGCTGGTGGGAGAGGTTGTCTTCAGCATGCTCCACACTGAGGTTCACGTTAGTGTGAAGCTGAGAAGGAGCTCTGTTTTGACATCTCCCCAGCCCTTTTCTGGGAATGAAGGGATGTAACAGCTCCTCGATCCCAAGGGTGTTTGTGTGTTTAATGGTGGGATCTATGAGGACAATGTCTGACTCAAGCAATGGAGAATTAAAGGTAAGATTCCAGCAGTGTGGCAAGACAATGGGAGAGGTTGGGTGGCAGCTTGCCTCTACCATCACCTTGTTCAGTGGCTGCCTGCCCACTGGTGACCAGGCTGGGCTCTTCTGAGAGCAAGTCCCCATGCCTCATGAAAGGTTAGGACAGAACCACAGGTGTACCCACCTGGAACTCTCCAGGAAGCCCCTGTACCAAGGCTGCTGTGGGATTATGGCATCGACGGTATCCCAGTGATGTCATATTAAACTCAAAATTCTATCTCATCCCCTGCCTCAGCCCCTGAGTTGGAGGCGTTCCATCTTCTCCACTGTTTTTGCCTCCTGGGCCAAAGATCTGCAGTACATAGTTGCCACTTGTGCTAGGTTTTCAAGGTAATGGGTGCCATGATGGGATGTCAGGCTGTAATTTTTACCGCCTGCATGATGCATGACTCACCAGAAAATTGCATGAGGCAAATTCCCCCTGGGAGGCCCCATCCCCAGGGAGCTGGTCTCCAGACCATGAGGGAGGATGGTTTTCCCTCTAGGGAAGTCCAGACCAGCAGGCAATTTCAAAACAAGCAGTTCCAAAGAGGGGCCGGCCAAGAACACACTCCAGGCTTCCCCCTTCTCCTGGGCCTGCACCTCTGCAGGCTCTTCGGGGAGGACACCCAGCACCTGCTGCCTGGCCTTTGCTCACAACTCACCAGTTTGCTTGCCCACATGCCTGTGGCCTCTGAGTCCTCCCACCCCTGTGGCCAGTGGGCCCTTTCTCCAGCATTGAGGAGCTGGAACTTCAGCACTTTGCCTCCATGGACAGCACCCCAAACCTGAGGGGCACACGCACAGCCACCATGCCAGGCGCTTCGTGTCTGCCTGCCATGCACTTTATTCCACACAACACCCCTGGGGCGAGCATTGTAATTCCACCTTTTACGGGCTCTCAGAAAGTAGGAAAAGAGGTTGAGACCATTCTACAGGAAAATGGTGGAGCTTCCAAAGCTCTGTCCAGAGAAAGCTGCACACAGCAGCCTCTGCTATGGGCCAAGTGGTCCTCAGAGGTTGGAGGAGATGGTAGGGTGAGGGTGGATAGCTCAGAGCCCACAGAAGATGTCTGGCCAAGGACACAGAGATGGGCTCTGAAGGGGGGCAGGCAGAGGAAGCAGAGAGGAGTTCTCAAGTCAAATGGAAGATAATGATTTACCTGAAATCCTGGTGCTGTGCAAAAGGGGCAGGAGAGTGCTGGGGCCCTCTGAGCGTGGCCGCATGGATGAGGAGGAAGGTCGTGAGTCATGCATTGGAATCCTGGCTCCAACACTGCAGACAACTGCCCTGCTCTGTCTGCCCAGAATCTTCCTCTTCCTTCTTCCCCTCCCTAACCACATGGATGCTACAGGAGCTGCCAATCTTCACTAGGCCGGGCCCACTCCCCACAGCTGATTGGTGCAGAGATGGCCACCTGACCCAATCTGGCCCAATCAAAGTGCTTCCCTGGGATTTCCTATTAATAAAGCCAATCTCTGGACCCTGGTTTGAACTTTCAAGTGTTCAGCTTGGCAGCTGTGAGCCCCACGTTTTCCACCAGGTGGGGGCCTGCTCTGTGGTGAGAGCGGGGCTGACACTCAGCGGAAAGTGGAGGTTGGGTGGAAGGGAGAGGGGTACTCATGGGGCCCTGCTGCTTCCTGGAGCCCAAAAGCCCCTCCTTTGAGAGGTCCCCCCTGCGCCCTTCCCACCGTCGTGGGGGGCTTGTCCCTTTCTGACATTTGCTTGTGTATCTTTTCTTGTTTCTTGTCCACTTGTCCACATGTTCATCTCTATTCCTCCAGGGCCTGGAACAGCACCTGACCCCGGCAGACTCTCAATGCTCACGCTTCTAGACAGATAGACCTGAACGTCCTGTGGGTTGGCTGTCCAGCTCTCCCGGGATTCCACGAGCCAATCAATCCTCTTTTTCTCTAAGCGAGTGCGAGCTGTGTTTCTGCCATTTGCAACCAGAAGCCCTGAGTAACACAGACACCTGGGGCCTTGGGAAGTGCTCTTCACCTCTCTGAGCCCCAGGTTTTCCACCTGAGATATGGAGAGGAGAGGACAGCACCGCAGAAGTAACGAGCAGGACGAAACGCGGGCCAGCTCCTTACAATGCTGTAGGAGCATCGCTCAGGTGAAGGTCCCTCTTGGGGGCGAGGAGTGGGCACAGGCCTGGGATCTGGGGTCACACTCCCCCAAACTCAGGCAAGGGTGCCATGTTAGGAGGAGTGTTGAATCCCCCTTAGCTTCCGCCTCTCTGTCCGGCAAGTACAGGATTGGACGTGGTCAGCCTTTGACTCCCCGGTGGAATTCCTCTAGTCATCTGACTGATTGTCGTCCTGTTCAAAGTACACGGTGTGTGCAACCCTCCCGTCTGCAGAGCCTAATCCCCCTGAGAACGAGGCTGAAGGAGCTGTGCCAGGCAATGCACATGCCATTCACGTGCCCGGGACAACTCTGGGAGGCCAAGCCCTTCTGCAGACAAGGAAACTGAAGCTCAGGGAGGTCCCTCGGCTTCCCCACGTTGCACAGCACATTTGTGGATTAGCTGGGGTGAAACCTTGGCGGGTCAACCTCCTTAGCTCGCGTGTGGGCCCTTCTATGGTCTCCCCTACTCCTCTCACGAACGCCCACGATGTCATAGCATGTCCCCTCTGCTGTCACCTGGATGTCAGGGAGGGCCAGACCCAGGCCAGGGAGGTGAGTCCACAAGCTGGATGTTGCACAGGAAGCTGCATGGAGGAAGGCGCGGTGCCAGCCCGAGTCCTGCTCCGGATGCCGGCTCTCCCAGCTGCCGTCACTCTGCCCTCTGAAGTCTCCAGACGACCCCCAGCCCGCAGGCCCCCCGCCCGTGCCTGGCTCAGCGCCACCTCACGTGGCAAGCTGCGGGGCATGGAGCGTCCTGATGGAGAGGCCGTCCCCGCTCCTGGGCCACGTGCTGGAGTGTGTGACAGGGACAGAGCTAATTTCCCAAACACCGTCTGAGCCAAGTGCATTTTGATGAGGATGATGGTTTTTTAAATTTTAAATTAGAAATTACATTTTTTCCCCTGCCAAAATGAAAACAAGAAATCAGATGACTCTGGTTCAAAAAGGGGCTGGAACTGGGGACAATGTGTCTGACAGACTCGCTATTGAGCAAGCAGACCTGGACGCCAGCTGTGTGCCTGGAGGTTGGTCCCGGGACCCCTGGCTGCCGGATTCTCTGCAGCCCCGGCCGCTGCAAACACGGGAGCAGTGGGGGCCGGAGGAGCGGGCTGGAGTTCCCAGCCGGCATCTTGCTAGCTGTGTGCGGCACGCTGGCTGGGGCAAGTGGCTCTGTGTCCTTTGCTGTGGAGTGGGCTTGCTGGTGTCCTTTTTGAGGACCTGCTGTGGGACAAGTGAACGCGGGCAAGCGCCCCAGGGCCCGACACCCTCAGCTCTCAGGTGCAGCTGCTTCTGTCTTATTACCGTCCCAACGGCACAACATCTCCAGCAGGCACAGCCCCTCCCAGGCGGGCTGGGGGCAACCCGGCCGCCTCCCAAGGGAAAAGGTGGGATTTGGAGGCACAGAGGCTGGGAAGGTTTCATCAAGGGGCAGAGGTCCCATAAAGTGGAGGGAGGACCGGTGGCCTGGACACCCCCTGGGGCACCCCGGGGAACTTGCTCTCTCCTGCTCCGGAGGCTCCGTGTTGCACGCTCTCTGCAGCCCTGAGAGTTTCTCCAGGACAGGGCTCAGCCCTGTCTGTCTCCCACAGCATCTTTGAGAGATTCTACAATTGGGAAAACTGAGGCCCAGGGGCCTGACTGGCGGTGCTGTGGCTGGAGCAGAGGACTGGCTGGCCCAGGGCTCCCTCCCTGTGCAAGGTCAGTCAAGGCAGGGCCGTGGGGGCCACAGTGCAGGCAGGAGGCTGTGGCCAGGCCCCACGCCGGGTGCTGGGTCTGAGCCCTTGAGAAAGAGTTTGGGAGCCCCCTTCCCTCCCAGGCTTCGTCAGCCTGGAAGCTGTTCCTCGATAGAAAAGCCCCTTCAGATGGGCAGAGCCTGCCCGGCATCTCACTTGTCTGGTGGTTGTTCCCCTTCAATCAGAGCCCGGCTCTGGCACAACTCGCCATCTGGGCACTCACAGACCGTCCTCGGACGGCTTGTCTATAGGGGCCTCCATCCCGCCGTCTCCCCATCACCCCCTGAACGCACTTTAATTTGCTTCATCTGCTCCCATTGCCAGCCTGTTTGTAGTGTCAGTTCCAAAACTGCAACACGACTGAACGCCACAACGCCACCCCCCTCGGGAGGCCTATCAACAGGACCCTGGGACCCCCGGCAGCCTGCCTCCCTCCTCTGTGCTATTTCTTCTTGGGCTTACTCCTCTCCCCCAGCACCCCTCGGGCCAGCGGAGCCCCCGCCCTACCCTGCCCTCCTTCGTTCCTGCCTCCGAGCCTCTGAGAGCCCACCTCCCCGCTCTCCCCCGCGAGTCCACCCAGCGTCCGACAGCAGGACCTTCTCCGGGCTCACATTAGAGTCTTCTGCGAATTGTGCAGAGTCCAGGGAGCAGGAGGGACCGCGCCAGTGAAGGCACTCGGTCTCTGGAAGCAGGTGACGCCAGTTCCGTGGACTGACCCCCATGCCCACCTGGCTGTTTCCCTTGCTTTCCATCCCAGGGGTGTCCTTAAACGGGGGCCGCGTGGGGCCATACTGCCCCTGCTGGGGCCAAGCCCGGGGGCCCCCTGAGCACGGGGGACCCAGCCTGCCCCTACCCCTTCCATTAAAGTGGCCCTTCTGGAGCATCCGTGGCAATCTCGCCAGAACCCTGGACTCTTGGTCCGCCTTCAAGGTCATTACCACGACTTTTTAAAAAGCGGGATAAAAACCACACTACATTCAGACCACAGAATGCAACTCAGAACAAAGGGGGAGGAACTGCTGGTCCACACAGCACCTTGGACGGATCTCAAGGGCATTATGCTGGGTGGAAAAAGAGCCAATCTCAAAGGTTACAAACTGTGTGATTCCATTTATATAACTTTCTCTAAATGACACGATTATAGAGATGGAGAACAGCGAAGTGGCTGCCAAGGGTTAGGGCCGGGGTGGGGGATGGGTGCAAGTCTAAAGGGGCGGCATGGGGGGAACGCGTGGGGGCTGGGCAGCTCTGCGCCTTGACCGTGGCAGCGGCTACACAGAGGTGTAAGTGTGATGAAGTCTATAGTGCACACATGTACACCCATACACACAGACACAGACACGCACCTGTAACACAGACACCCAGATACACATAGACACATACATACACACATACAGACACACACGTACAGACCCACTTTCACACACACACACAAATCAGCTGGTGCAACTGAGTGAGGGTGTGGGTTGTACCGCTGCCAGTGTCCTGGCGTGGTCGCGCACTCTGGTGAGATGTGACCCTTGGGGAGCCTGGGGAGGGCACACAGCACCTCTCTATTTGATTTTTGCAACTTCCTGAGTCTAATTACTTCAGAATAAACATTCGGTTGTTTTTCAATGAGATTAAGAGAGGGACAGAGAGACGGAAGGGTGAACTGGGGTGGGAGGTGGATTGACGGGGAAGGAGGACAGGGCAGCCGACATGTGAGGGGACGGGAGAGAAAATGAGAGGGAGGAAGAGGATACGGAAGGAAGAGAGGAGGGGTGGGGAGGAGCCGACCAGCAGCCACAAGGAGAAGAACAGAGCTGGGGTGGGATCCTGCCGGGTGGCGGGTGATCCAGGGCCAATGCCAGTCCTGCCCTTCACGAAGCCCCCTGCTGCTCCCTCCAACCCAGTCGTGGCCCAGGCGGGAGGACCGGTTGTGGGGCCTGGGGCAGCCATGGTGTCACTGGGCTGTGCGCTCCAATGGTATCAGATGGGAGGGAGGGGGTCCAGGGCAGATGTTCTTGGGGCACTTCCAGCTTCGGGGTCTCCCCCAGCTGAGAGTCTGGGCCCCTGGATGACCTCTCGGGGCGACCCTGGGTCCTTGTTGTCCAAATGGCATCCACACCCCGCCAGGGCTTAATATTCTGAGAGCTGAGATGCTCTGAGATCTGCTCCCGACCTCTCCGAGCCTGCTGCCGAGGGCGGGAGACACCTCCGTCTGGACTCCATGAGGCCCCGGTGGGTCCCGACTCTGCCATGCAGAATGGAGGCCGTGCGGTGGCTCCCCACTGTGCCCAAGGTGTGGCTGGGCATTGTTTGCAGAACATATGAAAATAGAGCACACGAGCAGAAAGGGGAGGCACACAGCAGGAGGGGGCCCGGGGCGCCCCGGCTCAGGCTGTGGCTCTGCTCGCTGGGGCTGGATTCAACCGAACTGAGCTCCGATGGGGAGAAGCCTAGCGTGATTTGAGCCTCTACGTGCTGGGGCTTCTTCCTCATTATGGATGGGGTGCATATTCGTTCCCTAGGGCTGCCGTAGCAGATGACCACAAAAGGGAGGCTTAAAACAAGAGGAATTTATTCGCTCGCAGTTCTGGAGGCCAGAAGTCTGAAATCAAGGTGTCGCAGGGCCGTGCCCCTCCGAAGGCTCTGGGGAGGAGCCCTCCTGCCTCCTCCCGTTTCCGGTGTTGTCGACAGCCCTCGGTGTCCCGCGGCTTACAGCTGCACTGCTCCCGTCTCTGCCTCTGTCATCACACGGCCGCCTTCTCTGTGTCTCTTCACAGGCCCTCTTCCTGTGTGTGTGTCTGTGTGTCCCCCTCTTCCCAGAGGGACACCAGACGTGGGATTAGGGCCCACTCTAACCGCGCACGATCTCGTCTGAGCTGCAAGGACCCTATTCCCAAATAAGGTCACATTTGGAGGTATTGGGGTTAAGATTTCCGCATACCTTTGGGGGACAAGTCAACGGCAAACAAGGGTCCTGTCCAAGGGCCCGAGGCTGGAGCACGGGGCTCCCAGGGCGGGAATCCACCCTCTCCTGCTGCCTCTGTGCAGGCAGACCTACCAGCGAGTCCCGACACGCTGGGGAGGCACACGCCGACCACGGGTGCCACACCGCTCTGGGCACTGGAAAGGCCACCCCCTAATTCTCCGCTCCCAGCTCTGAACCCCGGCTCTCATCACAGGGGTCCGGTCTCCTCTCCAGCCCAACCCCGCGGGGCTCAGCCCCTTGTGCCTGCAGAGTCCCCTGTTGCCCACTCAGTCCTGGGTCTGGGGTCTACCTCCCCATGGCCTCCTGCCCCTCCCCCTCTTCGGGCTCCGAGGAAGCCGCTCTTCTCTGCGTCCCGCCGCCCCAGCTGCCCGCCCTGTCCCTGCCTGCCCAGTGACTCCTGCTGAGCTCCTCGGGTCCTTTCCCTGCCCTGACAGCAGCTTGTCCCGAATGTAGCTGGACTAGGTGGACCATGGATTTTTTTCTGGGGGGTGGGAAAGGAAAAAGAAAAGCAGTCTTTGTTTATAGATATTCAAATCCTGGGGGTCAGTTTTCTGGCCACAGACAAATCCCGACTCCCCATTGTCACAGGCTCCTTGTCCCAACTTGGCTCCACGGAGCGCAGAGTGGCTCAATCCCATTCGATCCAAAGTCATGTGTGCTGTGGGGGCAGCAAGGAGCCCGCACCTCAAGCTCAGACAGGAAGTTAGGGGAGCGGGTCTCATCGCCGACCTTGCACACACCCCCTACCCCGAAACACGCTCCTCCCCGTCTCTCTGAGTCCTTTCAGTCCAGGCACCCCGGCTCCCAGACTCAGGGTCCTCCCTGACTCCGGCTCTGGGGCTGGGGTCTCCCTGTGCTCCCCCGGCCCCTGCCCCAGCCCTGCCACACTCTGCTTCCCTGCCTGACATCTGTTTTCCCGACCAGGCTCCGAGCACTGGGCCAGGCCTGGGTTTGCCATCCCCACCACCTTGGCCTGGAGCTGGCGCTCGGGAAATGTCTGTGAATGTCATGATCACAGACGGGAAGCCAAGGGCAGAGGAGGAGGCGACAAGCACAGGCTCAGGGAAGTGAAGGCCAGCGAGGTACGCTTGGGACAGCTGGGCCTTGGGCTGTGCCAAAGTTCAAGAGGCCCAGGAGGGGTTGGGACACTTTCAGACCAAGGCGACAGCATCACCAAAGGCAAGAAGCGAGGAAGCCTGGTTCTGAGGACTGCAGCGAGCTGCTGGGTCTCAGGTGGCGTGAAGCTTGGGAAGGCGGGAGACACAGATAACGAAGCAGGACGAGAACTGGAGCGTCACCCTGTAGATGACGGGCCACCGAGACTAGTAAACGGAGCAGACACTGCAGCAGCCAGCGCAGGGCCGCCGATGGAAGAGTGCCATGGGGCTGGTGGAGGTGCTGAGGGCACAGGAGGGGCTGGGGGAGGAGTCGCCCCCGTGCTTGTCTCCACCTCTCACCGATTTCCCTTGACTGCAGGTCCACCACCCCGAGGAGAGCCTGCCCCCGCCCCATCCAGGGGCAGAGGGATCCCCTGCAAGGGTCTGGCCGTTTGTGAGTTTACTCCTCGGCTGTGGTCTTATCTCCGCAGGAGACAGCTCTCACGCCCATTGATCCTGCGCAGACATTAGCACGGGAGCCCCAGCTGTTAGCTCCCAACGGCTGCAGAAGGCGCCTGTTGACTGGTGTCCATCAGCAACACGTCGAGAGCCGGGGATTATCACCTGCTCGAAGGCACCAGCAGAACCCCAGCCAGCCCTGCAGCTTCTCCGGGAGCTGGGCACTCCACAGCCAGCCCAGAAGGTCCCTCTGCACCTCCCCGAAGCCAGCTGCCCGGCAGGGGTGAGCCCCGAATCTCCGATGGGTCCTTGCTCCTTCGGCCTCGTGGGGTCTGCCCCTCCCCACTTGCCACAGGGCTTCCTTCCCAGGATGGGACCCCGGGGACCAGCCCCTCTGGGGAGAGTCGGCCTGGGTTGGACAGCAGACGCCCAGCCCTGCCCCCGAAAGGCCCGACTAAGAACTTAGAACGTCCCCGTCTTCTCTGACGGTTTGTGGGAACCGTGCGGTGGGCTGGAGCCTCCTTCTTCTCGGTCAGGAGTGTCATGAGCTGGTTGATAGTCTGAAACCAGTAGACGTGGAGTATTTACCCCACAGAACCTGGCAAACTGCAGACCTTCCCCAAGGACCCATTTATCAGCACTCCGTGCATATCCCTCTGTCGCTGGGTCTGCAGGCAGACAGGGCCCCCCTCTATCTCGTCTAAAAGCCCCGACTGCTCCTTTCCCCGAGACCCTGCACCTGGCCTCAGCCCACTCGGGACCCTGGGGTGTCTCTCCTGGGAGCTCTGGAGCATTGACTGTCCGACCATGTTGCTGCTACTCCGACCCTTCAGAGGCTCGGCTGCCTCAGGGCCGAGTCCAGACCGGGTGGCCTGACCCTGAGACCCTTACCCAGCAGGCTCCATGTGCCTTTCTCTCCAGCCTGCCCAGCCCCACCTCTCCACGCCCCCATCCCAAGGCCTAGCAAGAAGCCCACCTCCTCTGGGAAGTCTTCCTGGTGCCCTGGCAGGAGGGCTGCCTCCTCCCCAGGTCTCAGCGTGCTCTGCTGCCCTGGTGCCCGTGCCGGCTGCTTTCACCTGACTGTGGGCCTTGAGAGCAGGGCCCTGGCCAGTTCTTCCTGCTGCCTGCCTGCAGCCCCGGGCCAGACCTCCCACCTGGCAGAGACTCTGGCACCCTGGCGTTCAGACACTGCCCTCACCGAGGCCGGCTTCCTGAGGAGGGGACAAAGCGCTTGGGGCGGATGACTAACCAGACCAGTGACGGTTATGCGGAAAATGCAGTACCTCTCACCATTGCTGCTTGCCCAAGGACATTCCGGAAGGAGTCTTAGAAGCCAACCTAACCGCACCCACAGTGGGGGTTCTGGGCACGGGCTGCCCGGCCCCCAGCTGGCAGGGCATGTGGCCCCCAGTATGAGCAGTGAGGTGGCTGTGCCCAGCACAGTGGACACCAGGAGGGATGTCAGCCGGAGCCACCAGGATGGGACTGGCCACGGGCTCACCTGACCATAGCCCCAGGGCCCAAGCTCTGCCCTCTGCTGGTGCCCTCCACCAGGGGCCTCAGGGCTGGTAGAGAGAGCCAGTCTGTTCCTCAGGTTCCTGCCCAGATTCAGGGACAGAGCATGG